CGCAAAATATGGTGATTTAAACCATACTGGTTTAAAGTCGGTTCCTTTTAATTAAGCTTAAGTTTAGTAACCCCGAAACCTGTATTTGGAAATACCGGGATGGTGTCCGGCGGGGGATAGTTTTTTACCCTCAGTTTAAATTTAAGTTACATTTTGGTAGGCCTAGTTAAGATTAATTAGTTGTAGTTGAGATGTCCTGGGTATGACGTTAAAATTCATCCGCGGCTCGAATCGCCGGCGACTAACTGCCCCATCTACGGCCTTAGCGGCCTTTGGATGGGAGGGCGAATGGTCATCCAGCAGCAATAAGAAAAATAGCTGAACAAAGGGCGGATGAACTTCTCGGAGCCAACGGCCAAATCATGCTTAGTTTAAGGAGTAGGATTAGTTAAGTATCATTATATTTGTATTCTTATTTATGTTAAGCGCATAGAGGTCTCTGTGATTGCGCTCTATACGTCGACCATTGTTATTATTATTATTATTAGATAAGAATTAATAAATTTGTAAACTTTGGCTACAGGACTGTTATTTAAAAAACAAATATAACAAACATCAACTGTTGTCAACATGGCATGGCGGTGCGATAGGCCTACACAAAGTAGCTGCTTTTAAACTGTTTGATTTTCGATGGACAGTATCATAATTACGCACCTCCATCATACCAAATTTATTCATGAACTAATGGGCTCGCCACAATTTATGATCACGGTTGTCATAGTAACGACTGGTGATTCCCTCATGGGTTTTCTTGCAACAATACAATATTCCATAATAATTCCATTTAATTATCTTGAAAATAACCTTTTTACAGCATACCGTACATTATTAATAATGATAGCTATGAATTCTTTATTGCATACATTATTAGAACACAATAAATTTGATGTTATTTGGAGATAGACTTTGGTAAACATCTGTGATCGCTGTCACAGACTGAATGCAATTTAATAAACCAAGTTTATATAGGCTTCACAGGCGCGGATCCAGACATAAGCAGCGTTCATCAAGGCGTTAGGGTGAGGACAAAATATAGTTAAAAATATGAAAGTGTACTGTGTACTGGCGAATTCCAACTCTCGCCTCTTTCAAAAATGTCATCTGCCTCAACCAAAGACAAATATGTAGACAAAATAACTGCAATACTTTTCCTGCATTATCTAAATATTAATTAAAAGTGACTGTTATTGAATCGGCGGCTCAATGTAATGTGATAACGTACACTTTTGAGTTCTTTTTTTTATCTGTCACAATATATGGTTAGACAAGAATCAATTACAGAGAGGATATAATATGTGTGCATTGATTCTTATAACCATATTGAAAGATACATATAATTTTATTATATTTGGTTATTCCAAAATCATAAGTAAAGCGAAAGCTATTATTTTAAATACGGTACTATTACTTTTTAATTATTAACAAATGAATGTTATGAAAGAAACAGGTTTTCACTGAAGTGGGTAGCCTATTGTAGACCTAGAGCTTAAAACTACGAACACATTCAAAAACACGTACACTCGTTTTGCTCGCATTAATTCCACGACTAAGACCGTGACGCCGCCCGTCACTGCATTTTCCAGACTCCTCCTCATCATCATTAGGCCTATTAATTGATTCAAGGGGGCCTAGGCAGCCGGCCCATCACGGCTGGAGATAAAAAGAAATTATGCCTATATTCAAACTCTAAGAGTTCCATTTCCGGCCATCTAGAGGTGCCATAATCATAATTTTCCTATCTCCGTTCCAAACATGGTGAGGCTGATGTGGCACACACAATCCAACTGTGAAATTCCCTCACTCCCCCGCCACCTCTATTTCAAATTCCTGGATCTACCTCTGAACACCATGAATTTGGAGTGTAATTCATGAATAGACGTTATACAGAATGCATCGAGTGCATTTCCAACGAGGACCGTGTGGTAGCGGCCCCTTCGTGTCGGGGGCCCAG